TCAGTTTTGCTATCTTCACATGGGTTTTGTCCCAAATATTGCAGGGAAAATACAATTTTGCCAACTTCACCCGAGTTTTGTCCCAAATATTGCAGGGAAAATCCAATTTTGCCAACTTCACGTGAATTTTGTCCCAAATATTGCAGGGAAAATACAATTTTGCCAACTTCAACTTCATTTTGGACTGAGTTTTGTCCCAAATATTGCAGGGAAAATCCAATTTTGCCAACTTCACACGAGTTTTGTCCCAAATTATTGCAGGGACAAATATATTTCTACGCAGAGGAGCAGCCTTGTATTTAATCCAGACTACAAAGCAAATGTAAAACATACCCAAAGTTGTTCTTTTGGAAGAGTTCTGATAGAAATGACAGGACTGAAGTAAGAATTTCACAAATTATAAAATTTACTGTTGGGAATTTTTACTTTGTTTAGAAGGTTATAAATACTGTGAAAGTTGTTGAAGAAGGGAGAAGGATGAAGAAAAGCTGTCACATGGAACAACTGCTCACTGAGACAAGTGAGAGTGAAAAATAAATGGGAATGATGAGAGGAAAAAAGAAAAACTTTTGTAGGGCCACCAAAAAAATCTGATTACAGCAGTGAAAAACAGCAGAAAAATCAGAATCAAGCCCCACAGCTGTCAGTGCCCATGGCAAGGCTGAGACTACACACTAAAGCTGAGGCTCTACAGCCATTTCCTGAAAACAMAACCAACAGAATGAACCTTTCCCAACCCATCCCAGGTGGTTTTTTTCAAAGGGAAGGATTGTTAAACACTCACACAGGTTTTCATTATTCCTTGGCAATGCTTCATAGGTGGAGCTCCTCACTGCAGGTTTCTTGGCATTGCTCTCTGAGTCTTCTGTGGTTTCCAACACATCAGTTCCCACCACGGAGTCACTCTCATTTCCTTCCACCCCACTATCTTGATTTTGTTCTTTCCTAAGGGTTTGGAGTTTGAGGTAAGAAATAGTGACCATTTGATGAAGCTGCTCTTCAACAAACAAAATGTGAAACCCTGGTGGGCACAGCACAGCAGAGTGGCTTTGTGCCCACATCTAAAACATTTCATTCTCCTCTGGTGGAAAACACTTCACATTCCTCTGGAGTAAAACAT